CACGCGTGGATCGACGCATCCGACGACAAACGCAAGCCACTTCTACCTCTTTTTTGCAGCATGTTCAAGACACCCTGGGAGATCCCATATCGACCAGAACCATTTTCCGTAGATTGGTAGCTAGTAGCCTGCACTCGTGGAGTCCGAAGAAGACTTCCATTAATCCCACATCGTAGACGACAACGTCTGCAATGGTACCGGACTCGAGCGATGTGGACGACGGAATGGCACAGGGTCGTATTCTCAGACGAGTCACGCTTCTGTTTCTCAAATGATAGTCGCCGTTACGAGTGTGGCGACGATGTGAAGAGAGGTCCAGTCTGGCAGCAATTGCGGAACGTTCCATCGCGCGACAAAGCGGCATCATGGCTGAGCAATTGCGTACGATTCCAGGTCACCTTTAGTTCACATTCAGGGCAGAGTGACGGCCCAACGATACGTGGATGATGATGTGCTGAGGCCAGTGACACTCCCATACCTTCAGGAACTGCCCAATGCTCTTTATCAGTAGGATAACTCCCAACCACACACTGCTCGCATCAGCCAATGTCCTCTGCAAGGGGTACAGATCCTTCTCTGGTCACTGTTATCTCCTGATCTCTCACCAATTGAACATATTTGGGATGTGATTGGATACCATTTGCAGACCCTACCATTGCTGCGCTCAGAAGAAGGGTAGCAATTGACTGACAGGGAATGGAAAACCATTTCTGAGGACGCCATCCGTAATCTCATTCGCTTTGTACCTAGACGTGTTACTTAGCGTATCGCCGTCTAAGGTGGTCCAATAATCTACTGAGCAGACGCTGTTCTTGCTCTGCATTATGAATATGATTTCGAAATAAAGATCACTTATTGTCATTTGCTGAGTTTCATTACTTTCTGGCCACTCCTTCTTGGTGTTGCATTTTCAATGTCGGGTAGTGTATAATATAAATCTCTGTGAAAAAAAAATGAGAATTTTGTATCGAAACATCAAAGTACCCAAGTCGTCTGCATATTTCACAATGATTTTACCAAAACATTTAGGCAGGTGGTTTTGGAAAGTATTGAAGGAGATTAAATCTAGGAGGAGACCCAAAATTAACCATTTGGGATCACTTCTTCGATGTTCTTTCGATTACAGTAGAAATTATCAGTTGCAGTCTGAAAGAATCTTTCATCTAGATCACTAATGTCCAGACTACGGTTCGCGAGCTACATTGGCATATCAAATCTTTTGTTATGGCTTGTTTATTCTTCTTCTACAGAATTCTATGGAATTCATTTTGTAGAGTTTATGTTTAGTTTTTAACAAGTTATTTTATATTAATTATCTTTTCTATCTCCTTCATTTTCATTTTCTTGCCAAAATGTAAATTTCTATCGCGCGTGATATTCAAATGAGGTAGAAAGAAGAGAGTATTTAAAGAAAGGTTTTATAGGGTACAATTTCGGCCTTCCACAAGATCACGTTGCTACTTTGATTCTCTTGCTAGTATTTTGTTGCGTTACGTTGTTCTTGCCATTAGACTTGTTATGCCGACCTTAGTCAGAGCCAGCTTGTGCTTTTTTCTATTAGTGCAGCCGTTAGGTTAACTCACTTGTCTTACATTATATTTGATTTAAGCCATAATTTTTTACTTCTGTAAACACGAGTGATGCCGTGTATTAAATTTTATCTTAGTCAAATAAGAGGTTTCTTTACAACTTTTCCCAATCACTGTGGTAATTAAAGAAACAACAGCAATTCGTTTCAGCCTTGAGAATTCTCGCGCACTTGATGTTACCAAAGAACATGAGACTCAAATTTTATCATTAACATTTTTTATAGCACTGCATTTGCTCCAAGCTTTAAATTGTCTGCAAAATGCCTGTTAGAACCATTAGGGTTCACTGATCTTCAGGCTTCTGGCACAATAAGTTATGGAAACGCCTTCAAATCGCCGGTAATATGCTTCGACAAATTCCTCTAGTCATATTCAATGGCATGTTAAATTATTTCAATAATAAATCGTACCCTTACAAATTATAATCAAGAAATGAAATTATTAAAGTTTTAATACGATTAGAATCGACTAATATTTGTAATATTTAAAAAATAAAAAAAAACATTGTAAAGTTATTCAAAATTCGGCCATTTTGTAAATTACCTCTATGGTAAGGTTAGGCTATTTGCATATGTCAAAAGCAAGAGGGCTATCTGCCTAACAAGAGGGTTGGCTCCGAAGATGACTCTCTGAAGAAAGTGGCTGGTATTCACATTACTCATGGGAAAAAGCCCGAAAACCAAACATGCAGACAGCCCGTTTACCTAAGCTCGAATCCAAACCAGGTCAAACTACCAGTATTTAGCGGTCGCTCAGCCACTGGTGGCGCATATTCCTTTTGCAATATGGGGATTCTGGGTCAGTTTTAATTTGCTTTTACTGATTTATACGATCTAAAAAACAGATGGAGCAATTAATATATATAAGAGTTATTCGAATAATACTCAGAGTGCTAAATTCATTAAACGCATTCATGTTATATGGAAAACACGTCGCCAGTTTTCTTCTTATTAACGGCTTTACTTATCTTTTCATTGTATTAAAAACGCTTGTTAAATTATATCTAGCATGTCTAGAAAATCCAATATGAGTTTCTGTAATGATGCTATTAGATTTCTTCAAACATTTACATTCCCATCGAATTCTATTTCCTTCACACACTTTTCCTAAACATGAATCTGAAGTAATCTGAAGGTATTTCTTGTTTTCCTAATAAGCAACCAGAACAGTAATAACTGTATTAATCAGCAATTCCAAAAGTAATGAAGTACAAAACAGAAAATGATTTTCCTAAACAGTACAGTTACTTGAGTAATAATTGCTTATACTGATCTAGTCTTGGCATTCCTGTTTCCTAATAACTTCAGCCATCTTCTGAGAAGACGGAGGAATAATTTATTGAATTAAACATAAGAATGTACTTATTCTTTTTATTGAATATTACTAATATTACTGAATGAAAACTAATGTCAAAACATTTTGTTAAAAACATAATATTTTGGCCCGTTTTAAAAGTGATTCCAGCTTCCTCTACAGAGACAATTATACTAGAGGCAGCTGGGAGTTCAGAATCGCATTACGAGTTATCTTTTACATTTATGGTCTCAAAGAATGTATTTGAAGCAGCTGTTTGATTTATTTTACCTCTGCTGTGTCGTATCTTTTGAGGTGTGGGTTGTACGTGTATTCGTAAAATTTTCTTAACCTGTTTTTTGTAAAGAATATTGATAAGGATCTATTCCAGAATCTTCTAAGGACGATTTTCAGTTAGGTTGCTTGATGCAATTCTGACAGTGCTGAAAATATTAGTCAGATATTTAAGGATTGAATTAATTTCTTCATTTTTTTGGACACTAAGAGTCTATAGTTTGCTATTGTGGGGATTTTTATAAGTTGGCTGCGATCTTCAGACTCTGAACCTATCCCAGTTCCCGTAGCATTAGCTTCGCTCAGGTTTGGCCTACAGATTCTCTGCCGTTAAAAATATTAACTGTACCCGGTTCACGTAAACTGCGCACATCTGTCTGTTTGTTTACATTTGAACACTGTGAATTTTTCAATATCGTTACAAAGTGCTATTCGAACAGCAACCGCATCATTCGTATTCGGGAGGGCGCTGCGATCACGAAAGCTGGAGGCAGTGTCTAAACATAGCTCCGAAATTTTTTAAATAACTGTTTCAGTAAATATTTTCAACTCTCTAAAAAAGTTTAATTCACCTTTCCTATGCAATGTCTCATTCATCAAATTGAAAAAAGGAAACTTCGCTTCTTCGAAACTTCAGATGTTTTGTTAGCTGCTTACTATCAACACGAGAAATCCAAAAGAGGCCCTGACACGGAATATTCAGATAAGTAACATTCTGTTCTTTATACAATATATGTTTCTCTATCACTAGAGTGCAATTAAATTTCTTTATTTATTATTTTTCATAAGATTCTAGCATTATACAATAGTTAGTAATAGTAGCAAGTCATGTGGTTCTTTTCTTCGTAACTATTCCGTAGAGACGCCACATTCCTTATCAGTACTCCGTTCTTATCAGCAATTCACACCCTTCGGAGGCCCCTCTCTTCGTGCTTAGGAATTTGTTGAGAGGGAAAAAATGGGGATCTCTTGACCATCGATGAGTATAGATTGTGATTTTTGTAACTAAGATCCCCGACCTTTTTTTTTTTTCAGGTATCAAACTTGGAATTATGATCAAATATAAATACAGGGTGACGGAATTTATTAAACTTGTACTATAATAAATTACAACTGTTAAATTAATAAAATTAATTTTATATTTAACTAATATTAAGAAAAATAAACTGTATAATTTATTTTTGTTGATATGCTCTCACACTGTGTATGGATTTATGATTTTGTCAATTACTGTTTTTCTGAAATATACATGAATTTTTTGGGAACGGCAATAGTTAATGTTACTTTAGTTAAAATATTATGTACATCTCTGTGATGATATATGTCTTTTCTAGTTAGGTCTCAAGATTAGGGCATACACATTACCATGTAGGAATTCATTCATTTATTATTTTTTTTTATTAAACTTAGCTAAAGTTTGCTTCTTAAAGACACTAATTTTTGCAGATGAACTCCTTAACTACACTCATGGACACAATCGTATTTTAGGATATTTTCTACTTCTTTTCCTTTTCTTTCTTTAGGCCCTTTTCTTTCTTTAGGCCCTTTTTTTTTTTTTTTTTTTTTTTTTTTTTTTTTTTTTCCTCTATTATTTCTGGGCCATTTATTTTAAATTTTATTTTGTCCCATCTTTTCTTTCTGGCCTTTTGAACTCGTAAAAAATGTACGAAGTTTCTTTTTACTCTCCTCAAATACGAAATTGCCCCCCCCCTTTCTATATACCTTTCCTTCGCACCTATGCTTGATTTTTCGCCCATCGGTGCAGAAAGACTTAGCGGGTGCAAAACAAGACATCTGTCTACTTTGTCTGTCTGTCTGTCTGTTTACATTTTTAGCGGAAGTTTGCTAGTACTGTTAGATTTTTCGATCGCGATGTTTATTGACTGAATAGAATATCTGAGGAGACGGGCGACGAAGAGTTTTCTTTAAATTGAATAACTATTTTACTAATAGATCTGTAATCATGTATCACTAAAATGCTCTGAATGCTGAATCATATTTTCTGATTAGAACGAATAATCAATATATCCGGGAGGAACTCAAGGTCGTTTAAATAAAACGAGATTTCTCTCATATTTTAAATGAGATAGCGCGGTGATGAATACTATTTCCGATTTCCTGTCGAATATAAATTATTTGTGAAATACAGTTTTTTATTCTGTACATGACAACATGGATATTTTGTTGAGAGCGATTCTCATTATTTTGCGCTTATTTAGATATGCTTTAGATTTAATCTCAGAAGTTGTTTTCGGTTGGTTTTATCAAGGAAAACACGAACGATTGCCCCCCATCAAGAGTCAGTACCTTTTAGAACCAGCTAATGTTCTGGCGGCGAAAATAAGACGACATGAGGTGAGTTTCTTTAAATTATACAGGGAATATTAGTAAAATAATAGAATATTATAATAATTTTGCAGTCTTTTTTGTGTATTGCATAAGCACAGTTTAATATTCCTTTTTCAGTGTTACCGTTTTGTAAAACTCCATTATTGTTTAAACAGTGTATGCAAGGTTTCAGATTTTACTTGTTAAACTACTGATTAGAAAATAATAAAGAAATTTAAATGAAGTGGAAAAATTCATATTTTATTAAAATCTTAGTATGGGTATATTTAACAATGTAGTAAATATTTTTAAGAAAAGATGAAAATAGAAATAAATATTCCTGATCTTTTAATGAACGATCTTGTTATTCTCTAAACTTCAAAAATATGTTTATTAGAAGAAGACTCTCCCACAATCATATAATTATTTTTTTCTGTATATTTTAAACATATGGAACTACTTCCCATGCATATAATGTTATTTCACAAATTAGGTTCGTTCATATATTACAGGTTAAAAATCAAGGTACTTTTCTGTTCTTAGCACTGGATTCAGAAATGTATGTATGTATGTGTTTCTATGTGTTTGCGTGTGCATACACATAAGTACATATATACATGCACACACAAATAGACATTTCTGAATCTGGTCCTCATAACAGAAAGGTACCAGAATCTGTTTGTTATCATAGCATGTTTATGCAATATGTTAAATCTAGCTTTAAAATGGTTTTTGTATAGAGGATTATTTATGAGGAATGTTTATGCTTTTTGCATAAATTAAAATATTAATATGTTTTGTAATATTAAAATTTAGCATTATATGAAAAATCTTAAGATGCTGTGTGTTGTATGTGGTAAGTAAATAGAATTATTTTGCTCATTATATTTTTATACATGGGGAAAATATAGCTGTATTATTATATTTTCAAACTCTATAAGGAATGGAACGATTATAAGGAAGATTTAATTAGTTTAACTGATGGTTGGGCTATTATGTAAAGGTGTGTATATTTATAAAAACCATTCATAATTTCATATTTCTATTTGCATTAAATAGAAATAAATCTTTCAAAGCAGAAATGTATAAAAATTTGACAGTCGTAATTTTTTTATGTATTTATTTCTACTTTACAAAAATAAGGCTTGTAGAAATATATGAGAAAAGTTTAAATTTTTTTACATAAAATAATATTGAAGATCATTTGTATAAAAATGTGGATATTTTTTATACATGATATTTCCATGAATGTGATCGTAGTCATAAATTTTTTTATCATCTGCCTCTTTGTAAATAAGAACTTGGAGTTAAGAGAAGCAGTATGTAAAAGCACAGTCCTGAACAGTTCAACAATCCTGATTGCTAGTCTAGACTTCAGAGTGTGAGTTTGACTCTAGAATAAAACTTGTTTGTTATGTCTTCCTTTACTCTCCCTGCAAATGTGTATTCGTTTACCTTCTGTGGTCTGGACAATATTTTCAGTTATGAGATGGCTAAAAGACAATATATTTAGTCATACCTGACGGATTGTTGCTAACTTGTGTCCAACCTTAAGTAAAAAATATACATGTATATGTAATAGGTTTAAATAATATATGCGAGTTTTTCAGAATAATTGTGTAATAATTTCTTCCTATTTTTATTTGACAAACTTCTCAATAGTTGGATGAAGTCTTTTTTATTTGACATTTGGTGAATGCTCGATTCAGTTTCTGATAAAAATATAGACCTTCCACGTAATCATAGGTTCATAATAATAACTTGAGTCTGGATTAGAATATAGTTTACAATTTGAATTAACATTTCACATTCAGGGATATGGGGTATGATTTTTCATAATATATCATAAGTGTTTAAAATTTTTTAAGTTGCCAGCACTTTATAAACAGAGACTGAAGGAAGCAAAAAAGAAAAATTACTGTTCCTGAAATTTAGAAGCACTGTTATTTAAGATGCATTTTGCAGTCTGTTCTAAGAATGTAAGGTATGCAGTGAATGTATATTTAGTCTGTCGTAAATGGAGAAAATAGATGATGTTATAAATTTAGCTAAATATATAAACTAACATTGAAAGTAAAAAAAGAAAAGAAATTTGAATGACTTCAGATTTTATTGAAAGTAAAAAAATAAAAGAAATTTGAATGACTTCAGATTTTATATTATATTCAAGGGACCTTTTTTTAAACATTTTGTGTGTTACCTTTATTTATTAAATATCATGTTCTTCGCACTTAAACCATAAAGTCAATTCAACAGCAATATCACGAAATAATTTTAAAAGAGCATAGCTTTAGAATTTCCGATGCACAGTGTCACACGCTGGAAATAATTTTTTTTCATACAGTGTTGTCATTGCTCACTTTGAAATCATTGAGTTTGTTAATAAAAATTGTTTAAGTTTTACAAAATATGAAATAGATAATAAACCAAATTCCAAATTAGGGCTTGCAGATACCCATATTCAGGTGTAGGATTACGTTATTCAAAATTTTATAGCTCTATGTACCGTTGTTTTATAACAGTGCAAGAAACACACTTATGCAGATTCTTAATTATTTAATTTCTTTAAATATAATGCAGGCCTCTAGCATTTGGTGGCAACAATTTGAAAAGTGATACGCTGTTTATAGTGACTCGATGCAAAATGCCAAAACGAAATTAATAGGTTTTCTGGGCTAACACGCTTTGGGCTAATAAAGAGTATCCTGTAATAAGAAAAATTATACATTGTATGGAAAACTGTATAATAGCAGTCTGTGTATATGTTATAAAAGTTAAGCATGCTAGAATTTTTGTGAAAAAAACTGCTGTGTGTCATGAAAGGTGTTCTTTTCAGACTAGTGCTTAGATGCTATTATGATATATAAAAGGATAGATCCACCCAGTATTGCTCCTTCTTCTAGTAGCAATATATCTCCCTAGTATAGCATGTTTTCTGTTCACAGCAATGATTTTTGTTTAGACTTCTCTGAAAAGTGATATGTTTACTTATCAAAGAAAAGAAATGTAGGAACTGGCGATTCAGAAATGCAAGGACTGGTGAAATGTAAGAACTAGTGTTTTGGTTTGATTATTTGTTAAAGATAAACAATAAATCCTCCAGGGACACCAAACCTGGTAGTTCACCCTGCCTTTTCGGTCATAAAAATAGGGAAGAAAGGTACACTGAATATACATAACATAGCTATTCTTCCAAGCTACTAATCCCATCATCTTTATGTTAGCTGTGTCAGTTTCAAAGACCATTTGTAATGTAGTAATAGAAATTGATGATTATGTCATTTAGAATGAAGTATCTTCTGAAGTTCAGTTTAAATAAATTCAATTTGAATGTATGTTAAATAATCAGAAGTCTGTTACTGTGCCAGAAAGAGGATTTTTTTATTTGAAACATATAAGTAGCATATCTTGTATTAAATGTAAGATTAATTTTAGATGTTTGCTTTGAAATCAGAAGTAAACATTTAAATTTTAACAGGCTAATCTATAATTATTAGGTGAAGAGTACAGATATAGTAAAAGCATACATTCAGCGTATCAGGGATGTGCAGCCTGTCATAAATGCGATTGTAGAAGAAAGATTTGCTGAAGCTTTAGAAGAAGCTAAATACATTGATGATCTTCTACAGTACACTTCTAAGACAGAGGAAGAACTAGCTGAAGAAACACCACTTCTTGGTATACCTATTACAGTGAAAGAAGCAATTGCTGTGAAAGGTATAGCTGTTAGTGTATTTAAAAACTGTTACTTCTAAATGAATGTAATTTTAATCATACTATCATAAGAAAACTATGTATCTATATATATTATTTCCAAATATAATGAAATGTTGTTCCTTTCTGATTTTTACACTGAATACCATAGTGCCACATAAAAGTCCGAGTAAGAAATCTTTATTTTAATGTATTTATGAAGAAATAATATTCTAGGACAACATATGTTAAACAATCTACTGTTCAAGGATAAATGGGCCAAACTCATACTTCTAGTGAGGGGCCATACTTTTGCCATTAACTCATTTCATCTTTTGTCAAATATGTCAAGCATAATTATTTTTTAGGGGGTTGATAAAAAACAAAATAGAATGACACATTTTAAAAACTTTCTATTAATAATACTTATTTTGAAAATAGGAACATTGTTATAAGAGATACGAACAACACATTTACTTTAACACTGGCCGACAGGCAAATTTGGTGCATATATCTTCCAAATAATTTTGGATAAAGAGAAATTTTTTAATGATAACTACACCCTTTCTATTTTAAAATTAGTTTTTGAAATTGATTCTATATTTGTAACTTTTTTCAGAATATTCTTGCATCTAAATTTTCATCATCTCTAAATTAGTGTACTCTGAAATCTAAAATAATGTCTTAATTTTTCAGGTTGTTTATTTACCGTTGGTCTTCCTGCCAGAAAAGGTTTTCGAGCTACATCTGATTCTGATGCTGTGGCACTTCTCAAACGGGCAGGTGCAATACCAATTGCTGTAACTATTACACCAGAACTTTGTTTTTGGTGGGAATCGTACAATACACTGTATGGACGTTGCTGCAATCCTTATGACACTACTAGAACATCAGGAGGAAGCAGTGGTAAATATTTTAGATTAAATTAGGATTTTATAAAACTTTTTTTTTTTTTTTTTTTTTTTTTTTTTTTTTGTATATGTGTTTTTACAACTTCCATGAATGAGCACTTTTACAAGTTCGACGTCTGTGTATGATATGTTGGGATATATGTATAAATATATATTGTTATGAAATGTCCAACGAGTAAGATAGCAACAGTTTTAGGGTTGCCAGAAAATGGCAAGATAAGGCAGAGTTGCCACATTTGGTGAGAAATCACCCATTTGGGGACAAAATTGGTGCTATGCCATAGACAAATGGATAACCTTCTGGAACAAATTCTTCCTGGTTTAGCCCAGAATGTTCTCGAATGCAAGCCAAAAGCTATATAAACCCTGCTGATATGCAGAGAGTCAGTTGATAGTCAGTCAGAGAGTGCGAAGTTGAGTCTCATCGTTAGTCAGTGAGTGAGTATCTCATAGTCCAGTGCCAAGTTGGTCGTCAAGTTTTATCTTAGAGTGTGTTGAGCTCCGAGAATGACCAAAGCAAGTCAGGAGCTGTACTCGAGTTTATCGTCGAGTGCATCACGAATTGTAGCGTGGAGGGTCTCGAGAGTATGTAGAGTTCCGAGAGTGACCAAGCAGAGTTGGGAGCTGTGTTCTTGTGCTTTGCCGTGAAGCTGTCATCACCATTGTAGCCTGATTGCGAAGGGTCTCGAGAGTACATAAAGTTCTGATAAAGACTGACTCGAGTTGGGAGCTGTACTGTGGTACTTTTTAGTGAAGCTGTCCACCATTATAGCCTGAAGGCTGTGTCACTGATTGTTTCGCCATGCTTGTCTTCGATGACTGTAAATATATTATTGGAGCTGTACTGAGAAGTATTGGCTAATAAATTGTGTTTCAATACCATAGTGTAGTTTCAATATCATAGTGTATTCAAGTGTCGTCGTTATTCACTCCAAATCCACGAACCCTTAACATGAGGAGAAAAATGTAACAATATGTAATGAAAAAACCATTTATAGTGATATCAATGTTTCATTAAAAAATTGATGCATGATGAAGCTTGATAGATCATTTTTAGGAGGCATATTTTATTGAATGATAAGCAGCACACAAGTGCATAGATGAGTGTAAAATCTGTTCCACGGCCTACAGAGTTTACCTTTCACCTTTTTTACGATTTACTGTATCTGAAAGCTTGCATCAAAATCCTACATATCTTTTTAGACTGATATTGAGTTATTGCTTAGTCTGAAAAAAATCACAAAGTTATGTGAAAGTTTTTTTTTTATTTATTATTATTTTACTTATATTACTTTATTATTATTATTATTTAACCCTTAAATGAACAGAAGGGCACAGCTTCTGTGATAGATGAACCTTTGCAACATGTGGGAATCTAAATTAACATAGCAGAAAGTTACATTTCAAATATAGGTAATTTAATCTGAGACTACACTGAGCTAGCTCAGATAGTTAATGGTGCATATTTTAAACTTTGGCGAGCAAGAAGCTAAAGCCAGAATGCAACTTAAGGCAACTTGCTTTTGAAATAACCCCATTCAGAAAGGTTTAGTATAAATATGTTACTCTTTTCAGAAAAGAAAGGGTGGATAACCATATTAAAAAGGAAACTAAAAGAGCTAATTAAAATTAAACTTAGAATTTTGTATCTCATATATGTGATTTTAAATCTTTTATTTTGAAAGTATTATATGATTCTATGTTATTAGCATCTATACTAATAATTTCTGCATAATGAAAATTTTTAATAATAATATTTTAATAATATTTTTAGTTACCCAAACAGAATTTTATTGATTTTCTTTTAAGCACTCATTTCATACATTAAATCCAATAAGATTAATTCCAAAAATTTTCATTTAAAAGGCTGAAAAACAAAAAATATTCCCACAACAGATCATGTAAAAGCAACATTTGTAAATTGTGTCTTTGTCAACTAAAATGTATATTAATTGATCCTGCAGTCAATTTAAAGAAACCTTTGGGAAAATATGTAACAGTAAGAAGGGAAATAAAGAAATCTGTAATATTTAAAAAATTCAGTCTTCAGTAATTGATCTGTAGCATTTCTTCTCATTGATGATTCATTTAATGGCTTTCTTACTGTAGTATATAATGATAAAATATGTGATTTATATGTGTTAAAGACAAAAGCAGTGCTAACAGTCAGTTATCAACTGAATTTGTAGACATTTCACAAAGTATAAATGAATCGATTGCTTAAGATGATGTTTTGAAATGGACAAATGTGGAAGGCAGTTAGCCAAGTCTTTAAATTTTGAGTGATGAAGAAATCATTCATGCGATAGTTTCAAGAACAATCAAAATTTTAGTAATGAAAATGATGAGGAAACAGACAATATGAAAGTTAGCCATGTTGAAACCTGAAGAAAAGCATTTTTAATTTTTTTTTATTAAATGCTGATGTTTCTGCTTTGGATCATTTCTTGATTAAAAAAAAAAAAAAAAAAGAGGTGGGATCACGCAGTGGTTAATAAAGTTATAAGACTATTTTAAAAATGAGTAACAAATATTAAAAAAAAAAAAGATAAATATCTTTTAAAAATTAATGTAAGAAATTTTTACAAGTTTGCATATGTATTGATAGAACATGCTTATTCTTTTTTTTTTTTTTTTTTTTTTTTTTTTTTTTTTTTTTTTACATAAAAAGTTTTATTATATAATAAAATCTTGTAGGGATAATTTATTTAATTGAAGGAATAAAAATTTTATTTACTAATTAAAATTATTTAAAGTATCAGTAATAGTAGTTATGCACATATTTTTAAAATGTCAAATAAATAATTTCAGAAAACCTTGCCAAGAGCAAAATGGATGTGGTTTCAAATAATATAAACTGAGTTTTTGATTATCAAGATTCTACGGTACTTCTTAATAATGGTATTCCTAATTTTGTATAGCTCAGCAAAATGCCATGCTGCTGTAAAAGTTTTGAACTTCCACAGAATTTGTAAATTAAGATTCATAAATTGGAAATTTATGAATGTTGACTGCTGAAAAAATGCCTAATGAACAAAGAACAAATATGATTTGGGAAAAGGATTTGATAGAGATATCAAAATCAAATCACTACATAAAAAATGTTGCTATTTCAACATACAAAATTATTCTTGATTATTTTTTATGTGGATGAGACTATTTGTTATAATTGATAAGACAAGAGATGATTTAAAATATTTAGTAAAACAAAATTAATTTTTCTTTTATAATTTTTTTCTTGTGTATGCTTGAAATGAAAGACCTAGTTGCCTAGACTGTTAAGAATAAAGAAAAATGTTATAATTTCTGATTTAAACTGTCTTAAGATGGGTTCTAAATTTAGTAATAGTTTTTGATTAGTCTCCTAAAAATTGCTGGTAAAAATATACAGTCAAAAGTCTTTAATCCGGACTCGTCGGGACTTCGGCGATTCCGGATTATAGATCATTAGTTTAAATCTGGTAAGATGGCATGCAGAAATTATAAAATTAAAAATATGAAACCGCAATTTATGAAATAAAGAGCAATTATGATCTAAAGAGTATCAAAATTTACAAAAAAAAAAGCTTAATATTTATTTGTTTATTTTATTAAACATTTCTTTCAATGCGCGCATGAATAAAGCGTACATTACGCATAGTCGAAATTAGAAAATTGCAACCAGAAAACTATTTGATTTGTATTCATGACATTTATAATGACGAGGAATTTGATTTAAATCATATCAAAGACGGAGTACATCGAGATGAAATACTACATTTAGTAAGGAATTATAAGCCGATAAAATAAAAAACATCTGCCCTGAAGATAAGGATAGTGCTGACAGATCAACTTCCAGTTCATTGTGCGCCGCCATGTTCCCCCCTTCCCCACGCAGAGCAGTGTGAAATTGTTAAACAGATTTCGGAATGGTTAGAGAAACAAAGGAGCCTTTATCCATTTTTTGCAGCAATTCCACTTTTTGTTTGATGGACATTGAAACATGCTTTCCCTTTGTAGATCCAGCATCGGAAATTCTATTTGACATAATCGAAAGTTCCAACTTACTTTTATAAAATTGCTCTAACAGTCTGCAAAAAATAATAAGCCGGATCCAATTCAAAGATTAAGGAACAACACAATCTGCAACATTAATTGAAATAGATAATTAGATAATTTTAATGCATTGACGCATGCGCAGAAAGTTTGTAGCTTTGAGGTCCAGATTATAGATCATTCTGGATTATGTGTGTCCGGATTAACGACTTTTGACTGTATTTACGACCCCTTGGCGATTTTTGGCAGTACATGGATACAGAGTTTGTGCAGTTCTTTGACTTGTTATTTTGGCGATAAAAAAACATCAGACAATCGCACAAACTTGGCATTGCACACTCACTTGACTTTATCCATGTACACATTCACCTATTTTCACTTATAAAAAAATCAGAGAATTGCACAAACTTGGCATTGCGCACTCCCTTTGTCCATGTACACATCGATCTATTTTCACTTAAAAAGTCAAAAGAGCACACAATCCTATAGTAGAGCCAAACAAAAAATTACATAATCTCAATACACTACATTTTAAATCAAACAATAAAATAACATAAAAAAGGAAATTCATCTTATGCATCTAAGCACTACACAAAGTAAATATCCACTTACCCTATTTAGAAATTTCTGAGTCCTTCAAACTGTGGCACACAAAATTCCTTAACAGCATCGAAAAACTCCCTATAATTATCTGAACTAGAATCCATATATCGGCGTCGGTGCATAAATTCATAAAAATAAGAGTAAAAAAATCCTCCGTAGGGCCGATATCAACCATACGCATTTCCTTTCTACAAACAAGACACTTATAGTTAGTGGCTACTAAGTAAACCTTCATTTACACACCAATCAATTAATGCACTTTTCCCCTTTTGTTCCAAATTGTACAGAAATTCAAATTAATCTTACAACATTCAGCCATTCTACCGTCCAAACCACAAAACAAGCAATGTACTTCCTAAGCAACATGCACCACAAGCCCTTACAAATCTTAAAGGAAGTGTTCCACAAATAAATGCAGTTGTAAAAGCAAGGGCCTCATGTGCAATTCAAAGTGTCATAATAGTTTAAGTTGTTGCAATAAATAAGATTTGAATCATATAATTTGGTAAGTTTATAACTTTATTATTTTCCTTTCTCATTTTGAATGTACTGTGTGTTTTAAGTTCTTATGTTCTTAAGTTCTTATTCTGAGTCTCAAGTGCGTTTTTTTGCAAATGAATTATGGAGAAGGAAATATAATATTCCTATATGTTCAACATTCACCATTAGTAAATGGTGAATGTTGACATTCACCGTTGTAAGTCAAAAATAAGAGTATTTGGAAAATATTTCGGAGATATATCAAGCAACTATGTGAATGTTGACATTCACTGGTGAAAGTTGACATTCTCCAGATTTCAGTGTTTCACCGTAACATATATATATATATATATATATATATTCTGATACACATACCTACATATGCACACAAAAGGCTGTGTGATTGTTTGTGTTAGAAATGTGTATATATGCATTTCACTGAAATGTTATTATTTTTATATGAATTCATTCATTCTGAAATATAGATATAAGTTTGTTTTTAACAGAAATTATTTTGTGCTGTTTTCTGTGACTGTGCAGAATAAAGTGATGCTTTGTTTGTTAAAATATTTTTAATTAATTAATTATTTAACATTCTTAAGTCATACATTATGTGTAAACATGGTAAGAAGAAAAGCTTGGTACTTATGTATTCACTCATCATCCATGAAAATTGGCTATCATCAAACCATGGAAGTTGGTGGAAATCCTGCCAAAGTTGTGCCAGATGTTCTTGCAGAATTCTGAGCTGCACTTATTTCTGCAACTCTTTCAAATAAACATTCATCAGTTTTTTTGCAGTAAGCACCAAATAGCTACTGTTGTTAAAGAATTCATCCCACTTCATTTTTTTTGCTTTATAAAATGACTTTCTTCAATTTTTACTATTTGCCATCCAATTTTGCAGAAGCTTTACACTATGAGTACTAATTTCCAACAGATTATACAGTTGCTGATTTGTCAGCCATTTATCCCCTCATTCAATAGATAGTTATTCTCTTGTGAGAACCTCTTATAAGTGTGTCATGACATCATGCTTACCTACATAAGTGAGCTGTTGACAGCAATCTTATGGTTGAAAGAATAATACATAAGTACCAGAAATTTTAATCATATTGATATATATATTATCAAGTGGAAAAATGAAGGATGACTAATCTGCATCATTAAATATTTGTAGGTGGTGAAGGCTCAATATTAGGTAGTGCTGGTTCTGTAATTGGTGTTGGTAATGATATAGGAGGTAGTATACGTATTCCTGCATCATTTAATGGAGTTTTTGGACACAAACCATCAAGGGGTAGGCCATTTAGTTATTTCATTTTTAATGTATTTATGAAATTGTATTTTCTGGCTTAAAAGTAATTTTATTTTATGTAAAATATATCATATTATATAAAATAATATGACCTGTCACTTACTGTCTGCTTTTATGGATAATGCTGCTGTTATGTATTTTGTTTGATTTTTAATTCCTGATTTACATGTAAGAAGCATAATTACTTATAAGTAATGCAAGTGTATCTAAAATTTCATGTTTGAGGGATTTAAATGGACAATTATTGTTATAGCTATCTTCTGCAAGAAAGTAAACATTTTCAACCTTCTCATTGTTAAATATATTATTATTTTGATATTGATAAAAGTTGTTTGGATATAATTGTGGACTTTTGTGAAGCTGTTTGGACTTCCCCCCCCCCAAAAAAAAAACTTCTTTTGCATATGTTTATTAATCATTCCAATACAGCATGGTGATAAGCAGAGGTTGACTGCTAACCTAAAACCAAGTATTTGGTTTCAGCTTCCATGTTAGACTTGGCTGTATGTGTTATGTCATTTTCCATTCCCATAAATGTAATATTTGTCTGTCCTTTATGATGCACTTTAGAGAGCATTTTTGTTGATGGGCTAACTAAACAACTGAAAAGTTCAGCCATTCTGAGTGAATTTCCTTTGAGCATGTATTCTTATTTGGGAAGAGATTCATTCAGATTGTAATAATATATTATTATACAATTAATCATATAATACTATCCGTCATACTGTGGAAATATAAGATTCCGCTGAATGTAAAGTATCATTCATGTTATATTAAAATTAGCCTCTGGTTAAACTGAAAAATGCAGTTTTTTGAGGAATATGTTAACCAGTTTATTGTGCAACTTTCTTATTCTTTATACTGAGTGTAGTTAATATACGAGTTTAAAACAAGAGTGGGCAAATGTGTGTACATCAGAAAACTATATTTGCTTATCCAAGATATTATCAGAATGAAATACATAGGATTCATGTTAGGAGTCACAAGTTTGAACAAACAGAGTTCAGCAACCTGCCGAAATCTACATTAACTGAAATCTACGATATATTTTAGTAGTAAAAACTTTGACTTGTTCTCTGGTAACTTGAGCAATAATGTAATAAGCATGTATAAATGAGTAAATTAATAAAAAAGTGTGAACAAATATTCTTGTAGCATTTAGAACCTTTGTACTTATCCGCAAATATGTTTTTCGTGTGTAATGGGGAAGTTGTTAATTTTCACTGAATGTCGAATTGAAAAAAAAAAATTGTTATCAGTATAAAATAGTAGTATTTCTATAGGCAAAATTTTCTTTGAATGTTTTTCTTCAGTTTTGTTTGGAATTCAAAAGCTTGATATGCAACACTGTTTTTCAGCTGAAAATACTAATTCAAAACTATAAGGATGAAGTTACTGTATGCTTGAAGTTTCTGGTTCCTTCTGTTTTCTTACTGACTGAATTGGGTCCCCCCCCTCCTCCTTTGGATAAGTATTTGAAATGATAAACTCAACAGAAAAATTGACAACAATATCAGTGTCAATTCTTTGTAGGATGTGCTATTGCCTAAGGTTGTATTTGGAAGAATATAAAAATATATGCATGAAGTTTTTTTAAAAAGCTTACAAGGCATAATGGTTAAAATGAAGTTAAAATATTTCGGTTGAGGTGCTAAGCCTCATTTAAACATTAGTTTGTAAGAAGCTGTCATAGATGGCCCATCTGCTTCATTTGAATGAATGGTTAGATCAAGTTCCCCTTTTTTCTTGTTGTTTTATGCATGGTTGCTTGATATGGGACTGCTGTATATCTGAGAATCAATGCCCAGATATATGGCAGATTGAAAGGAAGGTCTCGGTAATATGGTCTTATAGTTATTTCTGAAGGTTCTCTAATTTGAAGGCTTACTGTATAGGCTCCAGTTCCAGTGCATGAAACAGGTTGGTCCTCTTCAAAAGCTCCTGTTTTACTATTATTTGAACATGGTCTTAGCATGGCAACCTCAAACATTTTATTTCATTTTTTAACTTTATTTGAACTGTGTGTACCTTTCAATTCTTAATCATAATTTCAGTATAAATTTTGAAAAAAGTATGCAGTCTGGAAGTTGTTTTACATCATATAATTAATCAAGTATAAAACATAAAGAAATTTCTGTTTATGTCATAAAAGGGCGGGATTTGAAGAATGTAACACTGAATAATGATCAAACTAGTCAATTTTTTTTTAATTAACAACTTTGAGAATAATTTTAATTGGACATTCAAACTGTAAATTTATTACTGGATAAAACTTCAAGAGTAAAATATATCACCATAAAAAGAGTGTAAAGCAATTGGGCTTGAAAGTGTCTTTTTTGGTCAACAGCAAATCAGAAAAGGAGAAGTCGTTTCAATTTTTATTTCACAAATGTGAAAAAACTACTGTGCAAATAAAATAGCAATAAGAGAGCATGGATTACTCTGAATATTATTTTAAGAATTTTTATTAAAAAAATGGAAGGAGAATGTACATACAATTTTAATCATGGATGAGTATCTTGCTTCCCAACCACCCAATTCAGCAATATGAATGTAATATTTTTCCTTGGTAACTGCATGACGAAACACAAAATGCTGGCTTTGATGAGTATTCTTTGTATGAAAATTAGTGGCAGGAAATATTTGGTTTTGAAAATTCTTATTCTCTGCATATAAAAGGATGCTGTCCGTATCCTATGTTCATCGTGAAAAGATATTGCTCAAATAGTATAAAGACTTGTATTAAGAAAGCACACTTTCTATTTTCTAAGCAAAACTAAAGAATCATCTACTAATGATGAATAAATAGTAGTTGCAAGTAAATTGATTAGTTTTTAAGAATTTGAATGCAGTTATAAAAATGCAGTAACAGTGAAATTGGGGAATTTTTTGGAAATAACCAGTGCAATTGTGCATCATAACATTAAATGAGCTACAGACTATGAAGGAGATTTAATAAATGATCCCTATGACTATGAAGGATATTTAGTTAATGATTTCAGAAAAACAAGGAAAGCTCTGGAACCTCTTGTACTGTATTCTGTAAATGTATTAAGATTTTGATATTTTTGCATTAAGTGTTCATTTTCAATAAATCCAGTCATTCATGGTTTTCTTATACTGCATGTTATTATGATGTCTTTCTTGTACTGCATTATTACTAATATCAGATTTAAATTTGATTGAAATTACACTAACTTTTATTTATGCAGATCAGTTATTTATCATTTGTTTTTGCTTTGCTCCTTGTAGCTGTATGCAGCTAAAAAATTATTATATTTTCTCTCATATCTGAGATCATTATACTCTTTTGATCTAATTGCAAAATGATAAAAGTTTATTATTTGTAATAGTTATCTTTCTTTTCAGGTGTAGTTAGTAATGGTGGACAATACCCTACTGCTGCCCCTCCACTGCAGACATTTTTGATGACTGGCCCTATGTGTAGATATGCTTCTGATTTGTTGCCTATGCTGAAAATTTTGGCAGTTGATCATGCTAGCAAACTTAAACTGGACGAAAAAGTAAGAGATTGTAATATAATGTTCAGCTAATTGTCTTTATGAAAATAACTGCATTTGATATATATTTTTTCAAATGGTTGAATAAATTATTTTACAATTACATATTTTTGTATAAACTTTAAAACTTATTTTAGGTGCATTTTGAAAATATCAAACTTTATTACATGGAAAATGATGGAGGCAATCCACTGATTTCATCTGTTAATCCTGAAATTACTAAAGCTCAGAAAAAAGTAATCAAAGCTTTTATTTATTTTATTGGTATAATTTACTCATTTTGTTGGTACACAGGCAGTTAAAATTTCAAATCAGTCACCCCAAAATTATAATTGGAGGTCATATCGTAATGTAGCTAAAAGTGCATATTATGTACAGTAGACTAGTAATTACTTGAACTTTGGTAAATTCAAATTTTCAATAAATGAACTGATGTCAAAAATTAATATTATTTATTTATTTATTTGATAAGCTGAATTTTCAATTACACAAACGTATGTTTCTTCTGTTTTCAGTTTCCACTTCCCGGAATAATTATGATAATATTTGTTAATGATTGTTTTCATTTTTAAATGTTCATTAAATTATGAAACATTGCATGTTCTCATAAAATGTTGATTCATTGATATTTTGCATGTAACCTGCTTTCTGAAAAATATTTATTCATTTTTATGAAGGCTTCAATAAGCAATTTTGAACATTATTCTGAATGACATTTTTTCTGAGGATGCAGTATGTAACTTTTCATCTTTTTATAACATGTACAAGTTGTGACACAAAACGAGACTGGTCCAATAGATCATTGTACTTACAAAATCAGTTCCCCATGACATTATCACCTTCAAAGCAGTCCCCTTCAGCATTCACACACTTCTGCATTCGTTGCTGCCATTGCTGGTAACAATTGTGGAATGAGGTTTTTGGAAGGCCCAACAGGAGATTATCTGTTTTTGCCTGAACCTCTTCAAATGAGGTAAAATAGCTTCCCTTTAAGCAAGATTTAACTTTAGGAAATAATTTTTTTTAATGTGTGAGTGTATGTGTCATATCTCATATACAAGCCACTTTACCACATAAAATCATACACAAAGGCATTCCTTGCATTTGACAGATGGCCCTCATTTTTTGCCATATTCCAATAATCTAACCAACCTTTGTTGTACAATCTTTAGTACCCTCTTTGATGGAACATTATTTATTAGTGGATGAAAATGAGTGTATATGCTTTTTGAGTGTTTTATTTTGCTATATGAAGTATTGATCACTTTAATTAAAAACCCATAACTCTTAGCCTGATCTTAATGATCTAAGTCTTAGTTATAGTGAGATTGCTTCCAAAAATGGTGAATCTGAAAACAAATTACATTTCTACAGCAGTGTAGGATTATCTTACTTTTAACATGATTTTTTACTGTCAATGAAATATTTATTGACGGAGTTAAATGAATTTTTATGAAACTTTTCTTTCAAAACTTGTAATCTAGTCAGCTTCAGTTTAGCTTCTGTTTAACTTAAGAAATTTTTGGAAAACCTTGGTATTCAATAATTTATATTCTTTAGAACTTGAAATTTAAAATTTTATTTGATAATATGCAGACAGTTTTATTTGCTGGTTGAAATTTTAATTTGTATATAAATTGAATATAGAGAGGTTTATAGATGTGGAAGATTTTTTTTTACACAAATTTTTTAATATAAAAAGGAATCTTGAAACAGGGTTTTTTTGAATATCTGTGACTGAATCCAAAATGAATGTCCTGTGCCTGGATATTAGAATTTCTGACACAATAAAGGCATTTAAAATTTTTTATTTATTTTCAGACTAAATTTTGATAAATATTGTTATTGGTTTTTTAATTTGTTATGTTTATAAATCATTGCATTGCTATTTTATTTAATTATTCTGAATTTAATTTATCTCTTTTAATTAAAAGTAGTTTTAACAGAATAGTGTCAACTTTTCTAAAGTGTTAATCTTTAAAACTATGTTGTAGGTAAAAGACTTTTTTTTTAAATTTATTCTTCCCTTATGTTATTTTAGATTGTTATGTAAATTTTACTGTAATTATACCTTGCAGGTTATTGACTACTTTGCTGTAAATTATGGAGTATTTGTACAGAAGGTGGAACTTCCAACAATGAAGCACAGTTTTGAAATCTGGTCAAAAATCATCACCACATCAGATATGAGGCCTATAACGGAAGAAATGACAGGTAGATGTGGTGAAGTGAATCTTTCTCTGGAATTCCTTAAATGGCTTTTTGGAATATCAGATCATATTCTTCCTGTACTATGCTCTGCTGTATTAAATAAGGCACTGGCTCCAAAAGATGAAAAACAAGCTAGTAAATTTTACAAGATGTTGTATCTTTTGGAAACACAATTTGAAGAAATTCTTGGTTCAAATGGAGTATTCATTTATCCTACTGGTCCTGATTTTGCACCTTACCATGGACAAGCATTGCTAAAACCTTTCAATGTATCCTACACAGCCATTTTTAATTTGCTTGGTTTTCCTGTGAGTCAGTGTCCTATCACAATAAGTAGTAAAGGTCTTCCTATTGGCCTTCAGATTGTAAGTGGCCTTTACAATGACCATATTACTATAGCAGTTGCTGAAGAATTAGAAAAAGCATTTGGAGGTTGGGTTAACCCTTCTACTGAAATTTCGTAACTGCAGTCGAGTGTCTAATCATTGAACATTTAAAATAAATTCTCTTTTAAACACATAAAAAAGGCATTTGAAAATGGATGAACCTTTTCTTTAAAATGCGGTGATGGTGTATAAAAATTTTGAACAGAACCATTTTTGGTTGTTTAAAATCATTCTTTTATTATTATTATTATTATTAACTAACATGGGCAGTTTAATTCAGCTATTTTGATTTAAATTACATTGCTCTAGTCTGTAAAAGTTGGTATAGGTGCATACAAAAAGTAAAAATATATTGAAATATATTTTTAATCTACCAGTTCTTGATAATTCTAATTTGCTTGAACTGAAATGATTTTAAATTTGAAACATAACATAACAGCCATTACTCTTATTTAGTTGAGTAATTATTGATTTCCGCTTTAAAAGTTTTCATTTTTTACATATTTATCATAATGTTTTTATGTTATAATTTGATCATCAGTTTTTATTTTTAGATATAAAATCTTATTGTATGCAGTTTTTTTTTAAATATGATAATTTGAAGGCCCTAGTTTAACTGAGAATGTATGCAACCAGCTGATGTAAGCAGAGAGAATTTTTATGAATGTATATATATATATGTATATGTTGTCTTCGTAATTTCATTTCTGAATTAAAATAAAATTTAAAGAAATATAGTCTCACACTAATATGCAGATTTGAGATTTTTATTTAGTTAATATTTTCTTATAAAATATTTAAAAATTGTATAAACTGTAGCTATATTACTGATGTTTAATAAAGTTTGTGGATGTTATCAATTATTAAAGTCATTATTAGGTCATTTAAAATATTGCCTCTTACCTCTATGTACTAGTTTTTGTTTTTCTTCTGTCAATAGAGTAAAGGTTTAGAAAAGTCTAAATCTCATCTCATTTGTGCATGAAAAATTCATCTGTGAAATTATAAATTATATGATACTTGTGAATTATCTACATAATCTGAATTTCCTGTGCTTATATGAAAGCTGTGTCAGTGCTGCTGTACATTTTAAAAACATTTGACTTGTGAATTATCTACATAATCTGAATTTCCTGTGCTTATATGAAAGCTGTGTCAGTGCTGCTGTACATTTTAAAAACATTTGACTTGTGAATTATCTACATAATCTGAATTTCCTGTGCTTATATGAAAGCTGTGTCAGTGCTGCTGTACATTTTAAAAACATTTGAACATTGTATAATTATTCTGAGGTACATTTAAACTGAAAACCTTATGTTAATATGAGTTATGTAATGTTTGGTATGTATATTTAGCAATTCATTTTCCAAATTTATGTTATAGATAGTTATTCTGAGATGTTACATATTAAGAATTATTTTTAATTACTTTTTAAAAATTTCCTTGTAATGAGTAGCTAAGTTTTTCTTTAATCTTTTCAATCAATTTATGTAAAATTAATGGAAAATTTTTATCATTTTCAATTCAATTCTGTTCTGTCTGTGTAAGCTCGTTCTCAGTGCCATATTTACAATCTCTTTTGTTTTATTTTCAAATCATTTATATTTGAGGTTTTTTTTTTTTTTTTTTTTTTTTTTTTTTTTTTTTTTTTTAAATTTTTTTGACTATTTTGTATATTTTATTGTACAGTACTTTAATTTTTTTTTTTTACTATGGTTGCTTTTATATTTATTTATTCATAATATTTTATTGTACATACATACCCAGTGTTGAGCTTAAATTTATTATATCTTTTTTGAGTGCAATATTTAATATTTCAGGTGTCTTCTTAATATATATTTAGTTTTATTAATAATTTTATTGTTTTATATGCTGTATATAAGTAAAATATATAAACTATTTCTAAGCAATTCAAATGGAATATTAGGAATTTTTTTTATTAATTCTGATAAAAACATATATTGAAGGTCCTGCTTCACCTTATTTTATTGTGAAATGATCAATGAGAGAGAGAAGTACTTATCATTTAAAGTTATGATGTTTTAAAGTGTGGATATACTAACATGTCCTTATATATTTTCAAAGTCATCATGAGAAAGAAGCCCATGACATGAAGACTTTTTACTTTTCTAACATAGTTCCTATACTTCCTTTTCCAACTCTTTCTGTAATTTTAAAGTACAAAAATTTTTTAACTAAAATTCAACTTTATAGATATATTACTCATATCTACTTACAATTATTAAAAACTATTTGATCACTTTTTGAACATTTTTTTTTTTAGTTTTTTAAGAATTAATTGATTTTTAAATTTAATTAAAGTTTTGCACTAAATAATATTATTGATTCCCATATTTGTTTTATAAGAGTTTTGTTATATAAGTTATTTATTTTACATAAATTTCATTCAATTAATAAGCAATATTTTTGTTTGACTAAAAATAAAAATAAATTTTCCTTGAAATATTTAAAAGTTTTTCTTATGGTTTCAAAATTACATTTTACATATCAGATTTTAGCCTTTTAAGCGATTACTATCTAGCCAAGGTTTTTCAGTTTCGCCAATGAAACCAAGATGGCAAACTTGTACGTACTATTCTGTTTCAACTTTCATATATTTAGAATGGAGTCGAATGAGAGTGTTGTAAGTTCTTAATTACTTTATGTGTGTTCTTAATGGTTTTTTCAACTGCATCTTAATTCATTGGATTATCTGTTTAAAGGTAAACATTTTGATTTAAAATTTTTCACTGAAGTATATTGTTTTTTCACTTTTGTTTTCAATTCTTTTAAAAAGAAAAAGAATTCTCTCTTTTTTTTAAGATTATTCTAATTTTTAATTAGAATTTACATTGTTTTACCCTTGCTGTGGAAAAGGGTGAGAATTTCCGGGTGAATTATTTTAATCAAAATACATTGGTTCGTCGGCTAATTCTGAATACAGAAAAGCAAGGATTTTTGTAGAAGAGAGATTTCAACTAATTTCAGAGTTCCTTTCCCGGATGAAGTGACATTGAGGTTGATTGAATTCCTCTTCTGTTTTTGTTCATTTTTTATTAAATTTCAAAAAATTTTTTGAAATGGAATTTTGCTTGTTTCAAATGTTTTGGTTTTAACATTTTAAAATTCTTTGTTGCATTTATATGATTATTTGAAATTTATTTAGTATGAATTTAAATTTCTGGCCTTTGTGAAATATTAGTTCTAATTTCTTACTTTATGTCTTTAATGATAATTATTTTTCTGCAGCTTAATGCGCAAAAATACAAGGCAAGTTTGTGTTTTGTTTTCAAAAGAATTGTTTTGGTAATTATATATATATATATTATACCTAGTCACTGTTTTTGCATAAAATTATTAATTGTATTTGATATATAAACTAAACTGTACTTAAGCCAGTGACTGCAAATTGAGTAATGTAGAACTGTATCATATTCACTTAATAAACTAATGTAACTATTTTCAGTAAACGTGCTGTTAAGTCAGCTTTTTCTGTAAATATTATTTGTCTTATTTATAGAGTTAACCTTTTCTCCTCTAATTTATTTTGAATTAATCATAATGCTAGAAAATGTAGACTTTAAATTAAATTAATCGAAAATTTAAATTTTAGAGTGTAGTGTAGAATTTAAAGTTTTCATTATTAACATCATTATTACAAAAATTGTCTCACATCTTTTAATTGTTACAGAAGTTTAAAAGGAACTTCTGTTTAAAATAGTCTCGCTGAAATTAATATCACGAAATATGCAAATTTATCAGATTTTAGTTTACCTTTTCTGTATTATCAAAGCCAATAAAGTTAATTTTAAAAGCAAAGCTAATAGAGGTGTGACAAATTCTGTATTGTTGATGAATTTTGGTCATTGAGATGGATTATGTCAAACTAGATAACTTAATAACATAGCAAATTAAAACATTTAGTGAGAAATTTTCATTTTTTAAAGAATAAATATGATAGATAATACAGTGTATCTTTTCAAATAACAAATTAAATTATTTGTGGGTGCAAAATAATTGCATGTTTTTTAAATGTAAATTATAAATAAGTCATTTATTGTACATTGAATTTTTAATGCTTTTAAAAACTTAAATGTTTATAATTCTATTCTTCGTATCATGTATTGTTGTAATGTGAGATTTGTGTGATGTGATGTTTATAAATTAAATTATAAAACTGTGTAAAGTGTTGGATGTTATATAGTGAAATTATCTACAGTTTAGGTTTTAAAGCCCTGAAATGTAGTAATGCAGTGTAAATATGAGATATAAAAGATATGCCTGTGTAACATTATTTTAGCTTTTATATTATTTAGACTTCTAAATCAAGAAATTTAATGTATTTGTTATAGTGTAATTTTTATTTCCATTTCATTATTTATGTGATTTTAGCTTTAATATTTTTATTGCCAAAGTGCTATTTGTATTGTATTTGTATTATATTAAAAGTGAAAAATTTATAACATTAAAACATGTGTTAATTTTTTATAAAAATGCTTTTTTTTTATTTTATATATATTGGGTATATTTTCTGTAATGGTTAATTTAAGAGCTAAGCCTTGATAATTTCATAATGCAGTGGCACTTGATATTTATTTGATCAATTTATTTGATTGATTTAATGTTCAAAACTCAATAAAATCTATTTGCACTTTTTGAGTATGTGAACATATATCAAAGTAAATTAAGCTAATCTGAAACTTTAATCTACAACTTCTAAGGTGTTTAAACCAGTTTAAGTGAAATAAGTATTGTGCTGTAGTGTAAGCTTGATATATAAGTGTAAATAAGTAGAGCTTCAACTTTTAAATTTTCTTATATAGTAATAGCCCACAAGGTGTAATTAATGTTGCTTTAATAAGGGTATCATTTTTCATTAACTAGTTGAGGCACCCATTTAAGCCTAAACTCAGTATCTTTTTAGTTTTTAATCCCTTGATGTAGCAATTAGAGAAGTATGCTCAAAGTTTGTGATTAAATATGGAACATGTTTTCTGCCATCTTTTCAGTACAGAACACTCCCGATTATCCGCGGAATTGGGTGGTGCTGCCGCCGCGAATAACGAAAATCGCGGATAATCCGAAAAAAGCTAAAAACGGGTATAGCAAAACAAAAAACAGTCATTCCAACTTTGAAAAATCATTTTATGTACAATAAAACGTAAAGTAAACAGCAGGAAATGTTTAACTAACGCTTAATATTTTAGTATATCACTCAAAACTAACCTAAAATGCATTTTGTTAATGAAAACAGAAAGAGCTTTGTACTTACGAGAGGCGTCAAGGATACACAGAAAAATTAATATATATGTACTGTTTTAATACTGCAATGTATTATGTAATTATAAAAGCATAACTGTAAAACTACACTTTTTTGAAGAAATCAGTCATTTGTGTTTGCTTCTTGCTTTGGAAGCATTTTCTCTTGATCCGAGATTGCATTTTTCGTAGCATAAGTTTCTCGGCCAACTCCGCGTTGTCTTCTTGTTCCAAATAGCTCAGCAGCCCGTGGACTTGTTGCAAAGCCGTTTCGTGAGTCTTCCGCATCTGCACAGTGGGCTCTTCTTCGCCTTCACTTCGCTGTCCTTCATTCTCGGTCTCTCCCCTTGCTTTCTTCACAATTTCGTCATCTGTCAAGCGTTCGAAAGTCAGGTTCGTTGACGTCACACTCCAACCACTCGTTAATGTTTTCAGCATCGAACGTTCTCACCACTCGGAACTGTTTTCACCATATCGGCAAAAGTTGCCA